ATGTAGGGACAGTAAGAAAATACTTTCTGAATCAATAATTCTTTCTTATTATTTTTCTATCACGCTTTCTGGGGCCTAACATTCCTGCCTTATTCCCTGCCTAGTCAGTAAAAGACTGTGCTACAAAAATCAGCCTTTTAAATTGCAGAACACCCTGAGAGTCAGCTTCACTCACCTTTCTCTACAACCTGCTAAATTCCTTGGCATGTGTCCTGAGGAGACCTGTGTGGTACATCAGCCCTTGGGATTTCCAGCTGTGTCCAAATTTTTTCATTATTTAGATGCAAGGGCTGTGTCTGCAATGTTGCTATTCTGAGAATGCTTTTCAGAAGTGTTATCCCAACAAAGCTCATAAAAAAAAAAATCACCATGTCTCTAATCATTTTTTCAGTCATGTCTAATTAAAATGCCATTATATAGGGCATGAATGCAGTAATTATAATATCTGGGGAGCACAAACATTGACTGTCTTAGGAAATGTCAGAGCAAATCCAACCTATTTGATATCTTCAAGGGAAATCCCATTAACTCCTCATGTAGATAGTTGTTTGCGTGCTACTGTTTGTTTCAGTCTCAAAGTAAAGATGAGCAAAGTGGTTCCCACATAAGTCTAAATCAATAATGCTTCCTGAAGCCCCAGCTGGCCTAGGGCAGCATTTAAAATCTTTATGCTTTGACTGTGCTCAGATGGAGGAAAGCATTAAAAGAACTGTGGCATATCCAAAAAGCCTTGGGAGAAAAAATGTCTTTGCTATATCAAAAAAAATCTCTGAGTATACAGATATTTCTGAGTATACTGATTATTATCAATATATATCGCTGCCTTGGCATTCCCTATCAGTGAAGTGGGAATATGCTGATATCCTTACTGATTTCTGTCCATATGTTAGGAGATTCAATGCTCAGTTTCATTAATATAATTTCCAAATGTATCTTGTATTAGATTATTTACTGACTAGCAATGCATGTGATTCTTTATAAGAGATGAAATGGCATGGAGTAGGTCAGTGCAGAATTTTGTGTATGCCAAGATGTTCAACTTTCTTTTCACTTCAAAAATAACCTCATGGAACAACCAGGAATGCTCTAAAAATACTTCCCTTCAATGGCACATCGTTACTCATTATGACTTCCACACACAGTGTAGGGAAATCTGAAATGTTGCCTGCCCCTGTCACTGGATCATTGAAAACTCATTCATCATAGGACAACTAAATGTAAATAGTTACATGCAGACAAAAATTAAAAAAAATAATATATTCTAAATAAAAATTCAAAGAAAACTTTAGCTGAATGCAAGGACCTACTTAATGGTTTGGAGAATTTATATAATACACTTCTTTCATGAGTAGAATATACATTTTTGCAATTTTTGGGATTCTAAGGAGCTCAGGTGATGACCAAATGTAAGCAGAAGTTAAGATGGATTTTTTTTTTTTTTGTTTATATTTATTAGCCCCACTAAATGTTTCTTCCTTCACTACATGTCCTGAGGAAAAAAAATGTTTTATAACTGCTCCATTGCTAATTATCCTGGTACATTTGAGTGCTGAACAACAAGGAAGGGGTAGGTGTGCATTTCCAGAGCTATATTTCCAAATGCATATACTTAAAACAGTATTTGTCATAAATGCAAAATAATCATAAAAATAAATGATGACTTACCACTGTGCAACACCATGAACATAGACATCAGAAGAATTTCAATCATTTTTTATTTGACCAAGTGCAAGAAAAATTCACACAGCAGACTGGTGTGCCTGGTGAGTTAAGTAAAATATTGGGCAAAATGTTATGAGTGTAGGATGCCATTAAGTTAGAAAATCCTTCTCTTCTAGCCTGGCCATACATGTGCCTAATGCAGCACATTTTTTTTCTCTTGTAAGTGCACATAATACATCAAAAATTGGTCTTATATATGCTCCACACATTATCAAACTCCTCTATGAGCCTGATTAAAAATATTAAAAATATTTACTTCAGTCTTGATTTAGGTCAATAGGTTCCTCAAATTGCCATAGACAGGGCAAGTCCATTTAACAATGAAAGTTTTTTATTTTGCAATTTTCATGGCTTACTTGATCTAACAGTTGTTATAAACTAACTAACATTCTGGAATTACTTCTACTGAATCCAGCTAGTCTACAGTTGCATGTCTTAGTTAACTTCACATCATATAAATCACTTTGTAGTCATACATTTACTCTGATAGGTCTCGATACTGATCTAAAGCATCATATATTTTCCCAATCAAATACTGTGCTGCATGGAAATCTTCAAATTTTGGATGCATTTGACATTATAAAAATGTGTGTAAGGAATTATTCTGAAGCCAAAGCTCTGTGCTAATATTCAGAGAGATTTTGAACCGCCATTACAGTTTATTCTAATTTAAAACAATTTCCTAAATCAAGCACAGAGTTTGTTTTCTACAGCTAAAAAAATAAGCCTTTATTTATCAACTTTCAAACACGTACCTACTGTTGATTACCTTCTTCCTCAGGTGTAAGGTCATTTAAAAATCTTGTAATATTTCATCAAAAACTGAAGTTAGAAATATAAGAGCCATAAATATTTATACTCTATTATCTGAAACTTCATACTTGTACTTCAGTCTACTACTCTGCTATCCTGAATAACTTTTCCCTACATTTTCTTCCTTATTCCTGTATTATAGAGTACATCTAGAAAAACTTACCTTGAGGGATATTATTCAGAAGCAGTTGCATGTAAAACAAATGGATTTCAGCAAAGTTAGTACTAAGTGATTTATACCCACTGAGTATATACCTCACCCATGTGATCAGTCCCCTTATCAAACCCACTTCAACATTTATTAATTAATCCTTCCGTGAAGTTCCTGAGATTAATAATGCCAGAAGAGTAATATAGCTCCAGTCATGTAAAGGATCTATACTGAGAGGTCTTTTCTGCAGGTGCACTCACCGTATAGTAACTTGCCCTAATACTCTGTGGTTGTAATTAAATAACAATCATTTCACTGTTATTAATCACAAAATCTCTGGGGCTTGTGAATATGGCTTTAATAGCTTGGTAAGAGGTGGTGTTCAGTGATGAAAGATGAGTGAAAATTTATACAGCTCTAAACACTGACATTCCTTAGGGTTGAGAAGTCTGCTCTTGTCTATCCACAGTGGCTCCGATCCAAAGCTGAATGAAATACAGGGTAAGGGTGAGTCCATGATCTTTGGAGCAGGCTTTCCTTCCTCAGGTAGATGTGCTTTCTGCCAAGTTCAGACACACATGCCTTTCAAGGATGCCATCAGTGAAGCTGAATTGTTTGTCTCAGATATGTGATTTTGGTGAAGGTCAGTTCATCTGTCCTGAATGTCAGCAGAAGGCAGAGGTAGAAACTGATGACAAAACAGGTCCCAGTCAGTGTGGATGGTGATTTATCCACATGTCACCATAATGCATAGATTTCTGTCAAAGCTATGCACTGAGGCTTTGTAACACTGAAGGTCTGATTATATGGATTTTTTTAAATTATTTTTTCCTAAGAGTTCCTAATGTGCTCCTTCCTTCCTTCCTTCCTTCCTTCCTTCCTTCCTTCCTTCCTTCCTTCCTTCCTTCCTTCCTCTCTTTTTTTTCATTAAGTCTTGGTTTTTATTCTTTGTTTTATTTAGTGTATTTTGTTTGTTTGCTTGTTTGTTTTTCCTTTTTTTCAACCATTATTTTTTATTTTCCTAGTGGGCAAATCAAGCAGTAAGTCTTGAACAATTGTGACAAGAAAGTTGTCCTTCAGGATATGTGATATAAGCTCTTTTCACAAGACACACACTGCTATGTGGCACCTGCCAATTCTCTCCCCATGAACACAACGTATTAGTTCTCAATCCTTTCCAGGACCTTAAAATGGAGATAGCTGTGACCTACACACATTGTCAGGCATGATTCAGGTTTAGCATACTACGGAAGTTGACACTGTCCCAGGACTCACATTTCTTCAGGAGAAGAAGAAGCTGATTATTTCTTACAGATGCAAAAGCCTCCAATAGCATGGAGAACAAATACAAGCCAAACATATAAAAATAGAAAAAAAAACTTTTCCGAAGGGAGGCTTTTTATGAAAATATTTTTCTTTTGATACATTCTTTCAATAAAAACCTGAAAACAGGAAGTCAAAATAATTTTCTCCCTCCTTCCTTATGTTCATCTTTGCACGTCCTTCTTCAGTTCCCAAAAATGTAATGCTAAGAATGATTGTAACAAATAACACACTCATACTTTGAACACACAGATACTTCATTGAAACACCAATGCATAGCATCTGCACTGCAAATACTCTTCTTTTGTTGGAAGTTTTAATGGCTTGATCATTTACTTAGAGTTAACTGAATCGTGTTGCTGCAGTGTAGCAGAATATAGGATTGTGCAACTTGTTTGATTGTTGCTTCATTTTTTAGAATTGTCTTCTAGTTCAACGGAGGTACATATAAGTAAGATACATATAAGCTCACACAGATGTGTCACAGAGTGGGATCTGAATATCTCCTTAGTAGAGCTCTGCACTAAATGAGTTACTAAAGTAATGGGAGACACTTGATTTGGAATCGGGACTCCCAGAAATATTTCAGTACTCAGGTAGTTTTTCAATTTTCCGTATTTGTTCACTTTGATTACATTATGTTAATTGGGTACTACTGTAGCAAAAGATATTACATGTATCATATAAAAATCCTTATAAAAATCAATTTTATAAAGCCTTCCAATGTTTTTTTTTATTATTATTTTTATTTTTTTTATTGCAGGTACAACACGTATAAAATGCATCTGTTTTTACACACCATTTTCACATTGCTTTGGAGGAAGACAGATTTCTATGTTAGTATCTGGTTAATAACTTGTCTTGTTACACATATTTGCAAATAACCTACGTCAATCTGATCTTACACTGAAGTGAAAAAGACTACTAAAACTGCCACTGTTCCCCAAACTGCAGTAAAATTCCTCAGTGCTAGATTGATTTACAGATGTTCTTAAGGCATTTCTGTTTTAATGCTGGAAGAAAAAAGAATAACGCAGTCAGAACAGGTTTTACAAGGAGAATATAAAAAACATACATGGTTATATAAGTCTGTTTTTTTGTTTTTTTTTGTTTTTTTTTTTTCTTTTAGTTATCTTAAAAATCTTCATCAGATAACACTTTGAAGAGCAATCAAATACTCTGTGGGTGTCTCAGACTTTTTGTTATACTTACTGTGGGAGTAAGCAACTCTTTTGACTCTTTCACAGACATAACTCGCATTTTTCAAAAACCAGGAATAGTATTCAACACAGTACCTAAAGTAGTAAAATTAGAAGAGTGCTGTTTAGTTGTCTTTCATAAACATAGCTCTATGTACATCATGCTGGTAATATTGCTCTTTGAATATAGAAATAAAAATCTATATTCTAACCTCTAACCTATGCCATTAGATGCCTGGAAAGATTCAGTTAAGCTCTATTCACTGACTGGTGAAAACCAGATCAATGCCCTGAGGCTCCATGTGGGACTCAGCGAGTAGCCATGGAAAAATTTCTCCTTGGAAGGAGTGATGAGGCATTGGAACAGGCTGCCCAGGGAAGTGGTGGAGTTACCATCCCTGGAGATGTTCAAGAAATGTGTAGATGTGGCAAAGAGGGACGTGGTTTAGTGAGCCTGGTGGGGATGGGTTGGTAGTCGCACTAGATGATTTTTTGTGGTCTTTTCTAACCCTAAAGATTCTATGATTCTAGGGACTCGTCACTGATGACTGAAAGCTGCCACTGGAAAATGTACCATGGAGTATTTTAAGAAGACAGAAGCAAGTGAAACTGCTGCTAGATTTTACCTCATGGCAGCCTTTATGGAATGTCTTCTTTGGCCAACGCAGAGGCACAACTGAAAAAACCTGCAGAGCTCCATCAAACAGGGATTGATCTTCTGCAGCGTGATGGTAACAGGAGGTGAGGTCACGTATGGGTCTTTGAGGATTGCCTGTGGGCACCCTAGGAGAAAAAGAACCATGAACTAGTTCTAAAAACTGACCCATAAAATTCTGTGCAATGACTTTTCTGGGCAAACAGAAACACACAGATTAACAGGTAAGTTAAAGTCAAGTCTGATTGAGGCAGATAACTGAGAAAGAATGAACACACAGACTGGCACTTGCTTGAGTGAAAGTAAAATGTGATTATCAATTCATTATTATTTATCACTTCTGGTAAGTTATTGAAATCATTGTTGCTTTTACTTATTACAAATACAAGGGACAACTCTAAAGATGTAATTTATTTATTGTTGCCTTTCCAGATTGAGGTTCATTTGCCACTGTAGCATCAGTTTTCCACAGCAGAAAGCAGTGAGATGAAGAAGAGTACAACACACTTATTACATTTGATCTTTTCTATATACAAACGCTAATGCAGGAGTCATTTCCAGCTCCACAGTTTCCCACACCCACTCTCTATATCTGAATCTTGGACTTAAAACAACAGACCTAGTAACAATCACTCATCCTGTTCTTTTAATCTCCTTTTCTTATCCCCATCAACAAAACAGACACAATTTATGCAGGGGCTGTGGCTTTCTCACTGTCCATCTCTCTAGTTATCTTGCATTTTCCACTTTTGCTTCTACTGCCTTGAAAAATCAGCTAATTTTAGCCATGATTTTAGAAAAGAAATCCTCTGAGTGAATACTTTCCTAGAAGTTATAAAACTGCCAAGAATCTGAAAGAAATAAAGGTCATTTTTAGCCTGCACTAAGAGGAAGGTAGGAAAAAATTCTCCATTTTACTCTTATTTGTCAGCTGCCAGCTGGTTAATCATTATTTTTTTTTTATTTCAAGTGACAACCACTGTATTGCTTGAACTTAAAAAAAATGCAGGAAAATAGTTTATTGAGTTATGGACTGTTTCTTCCCTCTCCAGTGACAACTGAGAGGAAAATATCTCGTTTGTTCTGTTCACTGAACTTTCTGCAGTCAGCAGTGAAAGGTAAACATTTGCACACAAAACACTTCATCCCACCAGGAAACGCAGCTGTGCCAGGCTGCAGATGGATTAATACAAGAGAATAGGTGATGGCAGCTTGTAAGTATTTCTATGTGGTTTTTCAGTGTGAAATACAATCGCCTTTCAGACTCTCTTTCTGTCACAGAAAAAAAAAGATGAAAATGAGGGAAAATGAGAAAAGGTAAGGCAATAGTGATGCTGCTTTCAATTTTTTTTTCCAGTGTTTTTCTGTTTCATATGAAGAAAGAACCATACATTAACCATAATCTTGTCTTCCTGAAATCGTACTCTGTTACACATAACAGAGTTATTATGTCTTTTGCCTTTACTTAACAGTTGTGTTAGAGTCAGTAAAAATCAAAGGACTTGACAGAAAAAGAAATGCAACATGTAAAATGTGCTAAAAGGTGGCTGGGCACAGCTACAGTTCATGTGTGATCGTCACTGCTTTGTGAATTGAATAACACTGCTCTGAAGAAGTGATGTTGGAGGAGCACACTGTGCTTTCATGCTTTTGCCTTTCACCCACTGGGGTAGGGGAGAGGGAATGAGGGGAGCAGAAGCAGCAGCAGTGGGGATGCTGGCTGGCTATTCCATTTGTGAAATCAGTAGCAGGCTTTGGCCACGTGTTCAGATAAACTGCTGTATGTGCAGAGTATAATCCCTTTAGACAGTGTAATTGCATTTCCAGGTTCATATGTCTCACATGCTTTATAGCTTTGGGCTATCTTATGTTACATGATAGGGGAGGCTACTGGGGTCAAATTTAGACTAATGAAGTTCTGTTGAAATGAGATTCAGTTGTCTAGTGCTGACAAGAAGTTTAATATAAAATGGCATTCGTGGGCAGGAAGAAAATAAAGGCACAGCCAAGCTCAAAGAGATCTGATATGAAACAATTTGCCTTTGACCAGAACTTGCTCAAAGTAGCAGGAATCCTGAAGGAGAAATAGGTAGGCCTTGCAGCTACTGTAGTCCTGGTTGCCTCTGAAAAATGGCTACGGTCTCAGTGTCACAGAGTGCACAGTTCTCAGCCGAAATCAGTCAGCGTTGGGTGGGAGCCCCATTTCTCTTCATCTTAGCATCTTACTTAAAATCATACAACCATCAAGGTTGTAAAAGACCACTAAGATCATCTAGTCCAGCCATTAACTTGTCACCACCATGCCCACTAGTCCACATCCCTAAATTCCACTTCTACACATTCCTTTAACGCCTCCAGGGATGGTAACTCCACCACCTCCCTGGCAGCCTGTTCCAATACCTCACCACTATTTATGAGAATATATTTTCCTAATATCCAACACCCAGGGCCTCAATATCTTTCTTATAATGAGAGGCCCAAAGCTGAAAACAGTACTCAAAATGCAGTCTCACTAGTGCTGAGTACAGAGGGACGATCACCTACCTCCCTGCTCCTGCTGGCTACACTATTTTTGCACGAACATCACCAGCAATTGACACCCCTTATGGCAATTAAAATGACTGATGTCTTGCTTTAATAAAGCACTCTTTGTGTTAATAACTGAACATCAGAGCATGTAGCAATGAGATTTGAGATTTCAGTATAGATGTACAGTAAGAAGTATGTTAAGTGTTGCTGGGAGTAATTAAAATTGCTAATAGCCACCCTCCAATGTGTTTTAATGTCTCCACCAAAGTGGATGTTCACCATCCCATCTAGCAGGTATTGTTAGTGCTTTACTCAAGCTGTGTGTTTTGCCAGCAGAAATTGTGTTCTATCTAAATGTAAATCAGCAATTTCAACATGGATTCATTTATGTAGGAAAGTAAATAAAGAGTTGAAAGTTAAACAAATTACTCTGATATTCATTTCTAATAATAATTTCATTTTAAATTAATGCTATATTTACATATAAATGTATATAATGCTGAAATTCTCTTTCAAGTAAAGACTGATTTAATTTTATTTGGATTGGATACTATATTTATGTTACATTGTTGAAATCAGAATTTTCAGTACTTCATAGTAATTTCTTACATCTCTTTGTAAAGGGATTTATTTTATTGATTAAATTCATAAATTCCTAAAAATTCAGATTGATACAAAGACATTTTCAACTAGAAATTTAATACAGCATTTTCTAAGATTTTTTTGTTTTTAAGAAATTGCCTTGCTCAAAACAAGCAATAGATAGGAGAAACCGCAGCTGTCTGCAGAGCTTTGGTTTTGTCCTTCTGAAATTACTGCACTGCTGTTACAGGCAGGTAAGTGACCAGCCTTTGCAGTGATGAGCCCTTTCCCCTAGGAAGAGGATATCAGCTTTCTCCGACTCTGAGGTTAAATTTTGCTGTCAGTGAAAAGCAGTATTGTGGCTACTGTGAATAACACAGGCTTAAAATATCCCCCTCTTCATGGTATAACATGCTCTCAGATTTTATTAGTCAAAATGAAAATGAACAAGTAAATATATAAATAAATCCACTTTTGTGATTTAAGAAATGGCTTCCTCGAGTAATCTCTTGACCTTCAGGGTATTGTGGATGTTATTCATTGTTTTGTGATCCCACTACCTGATTTTTTCTCAAAATGCCACAACTGCTATGTGCAGGTGGACAGCATCTACCATGGTTTCTGATAGAGAGGCATTCCATTCTTTGATGTCATTGAAATCTGTGTTTTCCAGGCTTTTTTTCCATCCAAAAAGGATGGGTTCCCACTCATAGATTTATCTGGGCTTACAGGGTTGTCCACTAGGTAGCAAATAGCAGATGAACAAAATCTGTGAGTGGACTTGTGATGTCCAGACTCCGGCAACTTCCAGTTAGGTGGTCATTATTTAGTCCTCAAACCAAACTCATCCAAGGCAAACAAACAACACAGGGAAGTTTGTTTGTTGTTTTTGAAGAATTATTTCTTGATGGACCAGAACTATCAGATTGCTCTGATCCCCATCAAAATAGAAGACTGTATTTATCTTAAATTCTTCCCCTCACACCGTCAAGAGTGAAAAGAAACCAAATTGTTGATTTGAACAACATGTTGGTTCATTTTCTTCATGCAACCAATGCCACATGATTTGGTTTCCAGTGTGATCACTGGGAGGAGGGGATGCCAGCAGCCCTGGAAGTCTGCAGGATGCAATGTGTAAGTGCATAGGTTGGACTTAGACTCACATGCTCAGCAACCAAAATCAGGGAGGGCTCTCCCAGAGTGCAGACACCCTCTCTGACTTTGGATCAAGTCCTGATTTTGAAAGGATGTAACCTCCTTTTAAGTACTTACAGAAATATAATTTTACTGATCACATGACTAGACTATATTTATAAATGGAGTGGCACATCATCATACATGTACTACTTTAAGCTCTCATATTCTAATTGATTAGGCATATAAATGGAAGAACTGAACTCTCCTGAAAATTGAGCTGATAATGATCCCTCGTTAGTGCAAGAGGGAGTTTTCAGCATTGAAAACTCAGGGAAATTCTGTATATTTCATATGACGAGGATTGACTTAATCATTTTATTTCTACCAACAAGTAAATTTGAAGCTTGCCCATTTCTTTTGGAACAAATGAATGTTATGATTCTTCAGTAGCCCCTCCATGTTAAAATGGAGAACATACAGAATATGCAAGTTAACTCTGTCAGCATAGCAGAATTTGTTCAGTGCGAAATTATGTAGGATTCAGAAATATGGAAGCAATCTCTTTGGTATTTGGGATGTTTTACATGTATAAAATGTACTATAATATATATTAAAGATGCACTTTTTTTTTTTTTTGGATGAAAAATTGCATACTGGTGAACACTCAGTCAGGCTACTGTTTTTGCTGCATGATGTGCAGTCACTTACGAGCAGCCGAATGAAGTTTCAGTATCAGGCCAGGTCGGTAGAGTGGAGTAGACAGAACTGAAGAAGGCAGATCTATAGGATGGAGAAGAATTTAAGAGGCTTTATGTATTAACAGGAAAAAAAAAATAAAATCAAAAGTGAAAAAAAAAAAAAGCTGAATTTACAAACCAGTAATATACACTTCTGTAGAATTCACATTCTGCGTTCACAGTCACCTATTTTACTAGATGCTATTTTCTATTTCAGAAACATGCCAACTTACACACTTTGTTATTTTCCCAAATCAATCTCACCTTGCTCTGTTTGTATCTGACTGTTGGCATCTTGAGGAGGCACAGTCTGTACCCAAAGCATGTTCACATCAGCTACAGAAGAGAAATAAGTGCTTCATTTCATTCAGAAACTTTGCTTTTTATCTGTTTACTCAGAAGTCAGGAATAAGATTGCTGAACAATCAGGTCCTTACCCCATATTTCCAGAGACATATAAGGATTTCAAGATGAAAAAGGAAGGACAGCATATGTATTCGCTAGATCTTGGAAAATATATTGGCCAAGAAAATATAGGATTTAAAGATGGTTAATGTACTGGAGACCCAGAGGAGCAGTTCTGTACTGCTTTTTTCATAGGTCTGTTCACTAGGTTTGGAGCAAAATGTGAGCAAATAATTGGTTGGCAGGACTTGGTATTCCCCAGAAGAACTAAGAACCTACAGGACAGTCCCTCTAAGTTCTCTTAGCATTTCTGTGATACAGTTATCTCCTTACTAGTGACCCAGAGCAAATCACCCTGAAGGTCATCCCAACCTCCATCTCTGAAATGTGTTTTGGGATGCACTTTTGGACAAACTCCAGAGCTAATGGAGTAAAGCTGGTACTGGTCCTCCATGCTGAACTCACCAGGGCTGGGCTGCAAGGCTGGTGATGTGACTAAGGTCCCCTCAGAAGTAGGAGGGACTCCAGCTGTGCCTTGTGGTCTTGAAGTGTCTACATGCAGTGATGGAAACCCCAATGCCTTCATACTAATCATCTTTGTCCATGGTGGGGGTCTCGTGTTGGGACTGTCCTCTCCTTTCAGGGCAAGAGGAGTGCTGGTACCTGAAAAAGCAGAAGGATGGAGGGCACCAGCAATAATAACATCCCGGGAGACAATAAATCCCAAAATACGCACAGAAAATCCAATAAAATCAAAAACATACACAGGAAATCCCACCTACTCTTTGAGTTCTTCCACGAGCAAGTCAGATTTGATTTTTCACTTCATTTTAAAAATTATTTTCTTTCATAGCTTTTTTTCCAGAAAAATATGTGGAGTGCCCATAACGTTGGATATTTTAACTGAGAACATTTCAATACGCAAGTTTACGTATACAAACAAACAGGAAATAAAAGGGCTGGAGCAGCTCTCTTATGAAGGCTGAAGGAGATGGACTTTTTCAGCTTGGAGAAGAGAAGGCTCTGGGAAAACCTGATAGCAACCATCCATCCAATTCTTAGAGGGAGCTTAATAAACAGGAGGAAATCAAACTTTTGACATGGCTAGGTAGTGATAGGACAAGTGGGAATCATTTTAAACTAAAAATAAAAAAAAATAAAAATAAAAATAAAAAAGGAGATTTGATTATATTTCAGGGGAAAATTCTTTACTCTGAGGATGGTGAGACCCTGGTTGGGTGGGACCCTGAGCAGCCCGAGATGGTGGTTGGCAGCCCTGCCTGCAGCAGGGGCTTAGAACTAAATGATCTTTAATGTTCCCTCCAACTTGAGTCATTCTATGATTCTGTGATTAATGGTCCTTTCTACTGAGAGAATTACAGGCCTGATCTACTTGTTACGACAAACTTTTATCTATAGTTTAACATCACAGTGGTTTGCAGCAAAGATATGCTGCCACTTGTCAAGACATTAACAAAGGATAATATAAATTTAAGTCTGACAATATTTACTCACTTTTAAATGTCCGTGGATGTTCCGCTGATGGTTCCACAGTTTTGTTTGAGTCTTCCTGTGATTTCATGAAACTTGAAAAAACAGAATCTAGGTCTTTGAGGCGTGAGAAGATAGGGTTAGTACAGTCAGTATCAGTGGCAAATTGCATGATAAAAAGGAAATACATCAGGTTATAATATAAAAGAAACAACTGTTCTCCTTTTAAAAGAAAGTTATTTTTTAGTAAAGCACCTTTGATCTTTTAGTTTTATGTTTTTTTTTTTATAGCAGGTGAGAAACATCCTGCAGCTTTCAGCACAGGTAAACATGCCACTGATTCCAAAGGCTTCCTGTCAGTGATAGATGGAGTATCCAGGCAGCACAATGGATGAGTATATTTGATTCCTTTCTGAAGGTTACTCACATAAAAGCAGATTTTTCATTCTGAGAGCTAAGGCAGATTATAGAATCATAGAATCATTTGAGTTGGAAGGGACCTTTAGAAATCATCTAGTCCAACTTGCCTGCACTGAGCAGGGACATCAACAGCGGGCAGCCCAGGGCCTGGTCCAGCCTTGCCTTGAAAGTCTCCAGGGACAGGGGACACAACTTCCCTGTACTGAGCAGGGTCACCTACAGCTAGAACAGGTTGCTCAGAGTCCTGTCCAGCCTGACAGGGATGGGCAACCTGGATACTCATTTGGACCAAAAGTATCACACAGCTTCACCAGTCCAGCTCTTTTTGTTTGTTTGTTTGTTTTTGTTTGGTTGTTTTTTTTTTTTTTTTGTTCCTTGCATTGGATATTTATATGTCTGTAGATTTTACTTAGTTTTGCAAGACGGAGAAGGAACGTTCATTGCAAATGCTACCTAGACATGGTTTTGATTGTAGTTACTGTTTCTTTTTATTCCCCAGGATGTGCTTACCCAGGTCAGAAGATGTGTTACTGGAAAATGTGTAATTAATAACAGGAGATTTCTCTAGTATTTCCCAAAAGTCGGACAGATTTCTACCTGCAAACATAAAGAATTAAAAACATGAAGATGGACTTGTTTCTCATGTGGCATCACTGTGAGTAAATAAGGCAATAATTGAGATGGAATGGTTTTTGAATTTACCTGTTTGACCTGTCATCACACAAATGTAGATACAGTCTGAATCATTGCTCTGACGCACTGAAAGACAAAGAAATGCAGAATAGATAATTGTTACTAGCTTTCATTACATGATACCATCTTAAGTAGTTGAAAATGTAAAACTGAAATGGTATGTGGCTACTACAACTGAACAAAAATTTTCTTTCAGATTTCATTTTGACAAAGAAATCAAAATATCATTATTTCCTGGATAAATGTTTCTATATAATTAAAATTTTGAATTACTCATACGTTTACAAATAAAATAAATCTCAGAAAATATTGTCTATTATAATTTCTAGGGGATCAAAATTTCCCTAGATACCAGCACTCAATTATAATGTACTGAAAATTCAAGGAAAGAAAGAAAAGCTACTCATAGAAAATCATATTAGAAAATCATAATGCTCCTATGTGTCTGTATTATATATACAAACTGTATTTTTTTTAATTTTTATTTTATTTTATTTTATTTTATTTTTTTTACAACCACTGGTTATGCTTTGCTAGATAAATGATGCTGAATTAGAGCAATAGGATTTTATATACATTTCTATGCTTGTTTCCATGCCAGGACTAAATAATGCAAACAAGGCAACAATAAATACTGAAGAAGAAACGCAAACCTGAGAGAATAGAAGTAGATTTGAAAATTTCTGTGAGATAACTGGTTGAGTTTCCAATAATATCAACAAGTAAAGCAGTGAAATCTAGACAACAAAATAGAAAAATTATAACTGAAACACAGAATCACAGAATCACAGAATCACAGAATCACAGAATCACAGAATTGTAGGGGTTGGAAGGGACCTCCAGAGATCATCGAGTCCAACCCCCCTGCCAAAGCAGGTTCCCTACACCAGGTAGCACAGGTAGGCATCCAGGCAGGTCTTGAACATCTCCAGAGAAGGAGACTCCACCACCTCCCTGGGCAGCCTGTTCCAGTGCTCCGTCACCTCACTGTAAAGAAGTTCTTGCGCACATTTGTGCAGAACTTCCTATGCTGCAGTTTCTGGCCATTTCCCCTTGTCCTGTCTCCACTCACCACTGAAAAGAGTCCGGCCTCGCCATTCTGCCCCCCACACCTTAGATATTTATAGGCCTGGATCAGGTCCCCTCTCAGTCTCCTTTTCTCAAGGCTGAACAGACCCAGTTCACTCAGCCTTTCTTCATAGGAGAGATGCTCCAGGCCCTTCACCATCTTCGTGGCCCTCCGCTGGACTCTTTCCAAGAGATCCCTGTCTTTTTTGTACTGGGGAGCCCAGAACTGGACGCAGTACTCCAGATGAGGTCTTACCAGGGCAGAGTAGAGGGGGAGGATCACCTCCTTTGACCTGCTGGCCACGCTCTTTTTAATGCACCCCAGTAAGTCATTGGCCTTTTTGGCCACAAGGGCACACTGCTGGCTCATGGCCAACCTGTCGTCCACCAGGACACCCAGGTCCCTCTCCGCAGAGCTCCCCTCCAGCAGTACATGAAAATGTTTGAAACACTTAAAAGTTCAGAACTTTTCTGCTGAATAGGAGTAGACTTAAGAGGCCATTGGTATACTTATTTGATTGCCAGCCTCTCTTGCATACCAACCTGTTAAGTCATTTGTCACGTTGTTTAAACAGTAGCAGTAATGCATAGGGAACTTGCCAGGGTCAACATTTTTCAAGCTAGAAACTGTAGAGAAACAGAAAATGGGTGTCTGGATGTGCAGCCATATGACAGGGACAGCTCCCGCACCAGGCAAATGCACTCACTGTTATAAATGGTGACTGACACTTTGTGGAAGGCAAATGAGCTGTGGGACGTGACACTCAGCAAAGAGAAGAGCTTTTTGGTACCTGCAGAAACACGTGCCCATGTGATTAGGAGTTAGAACTAATTATGCAAACAGAATGTTTTGGCTCTGCTCATTTGATTTCAAAAAGACTCCTGAGATATTGATATGATGCAGATGCCTGAGACTCAATTCCTTCTCGTTACCACTGAGGGATGGTTCATCAGCACTACTTTCTTAAAATAAATAAATCAAGCAAGCAAGCAAGCCTTCACTGGATTATATAGTGCTTTTTAAAGGCATCCCATAAGTAATTATGCTGTGCCTATCTATGAACACACTAATTTATAAATTCTTTGGGGTAGGCAGATGTCTGCATTAAGATGTGCAAGTGTAACTTGCTCTGAAAATTAATTTTGGATGCAGACAGCATGCATTTGTGGCTTCTCCTGCGACCACCACCAGTTCTTTATCTCCCTCACTGCCACTGGCAGCTTGTCACCTCCCCGGCTACTGCAACGTCACCTCTGAGTGTTGTGCTCAGCATCCCATTCACCAGCTCAGTCAGGTTAACAGCAGCCAGATCCATGGACTTTGCAGGCAACTCTGGAAAACAAAGAGTCTCTGGAAATGGCTGCTAATCACTTGCTTGTACGAGGCAAAAAGCTTCCACAGTGAGACAACAAAATGAGCAGTTTATGTATTGAGGAAATGAATATGCCAGGAGAGCAGAGAGAAGTTTGGAAAAATCACAAGATAGAGTGAGGAGTGCAATGGTACCCAGAATTTAGGCAGTGCTCTGTGCCAGCTTATGCCTTGGGAGGTGGCGGAAGGGAGCAGCATCCTGGTGCCCTCTTGTGCTGGTGATGCATGCTTCCTTCCAAGGCAAAAACAGAGCACACAAATGGAGGAGAAAATACCTGGGAAATCCTCCTCCCTTTCCACAGTGCTACATGATTTTTTTTTTTTTTCTTTTCAGTTACCTTGACTAATATACTAATACTGCAAATAAAATTAAAGCTGCTGAATGATGCTTTTTATTTAAAAGATGTTTCCTTTCCCTTGATGTTGCTTGCCTGCTCTTCCCAGGTCTGGATCTCAAAGATGTTCTTTTCATTCCCTACCATGAAGTGATGAAGAAGCAGAGTGACATGGTGCCTGTGTGTGTGCAAGGTCGTCTGTGAATGCATGACAGAGAGGAAAAACAGAGCAGGACGGAAAAAGAAGCAAAGAAACCCAGAATGAGAGCAAAATCGAATTTGGAAAGAAATACAATTTTCCAATGACATCACTATTATTTTTAACCAGATCTAAACAAAGATTGTGTGAAGCTGTGTCGGAACAAATGGAAGTGGCAATGACAGAGCAGAGCACTGAGAGACTCACACCCCCAGAGATAACAGAGGAACACACCTTTGGTTGAAGGGCTCTGGAAGGAGAGTAACTAAAAAGAGGCACCACCTCTTCACATTCCCAGAAAGAGAGAGGTTAAGTTGGCCAAGGATCTGCACATGCTGGGACAAAGAGTCCTTGTAGCAGAGGTGGCTTTGGTATATGGACTCCACAGGGTAAATGCAAACTCATTTTCATACAGCCCTCTTTCACCAGTGCCCACAAACAGGGTCAAAGGTTCCTGATGTGCTGATGTTACCTTCAGTAGCCAGCACTGCTGCTTGCTTCTCTCTCTTATGCATGAAGTTTTCTCTTCTTATGCATGAAGCTGTGAAGCAAAAAAAGAGTCTGAGAGAAAAAAAAATCCCTGTTGAACTACCAAGTGTTTCTCAGTGCAGCTCTCTGCTGGGGTTACTTTGCTGCTCTTATTCATTATGGCGCAGAAACCAATGGACACAAGCACTGCAAAGCAGCACACCGAGTATCCATAACAGCAGGAGATTAAGTGCCTAGCAATAAGCATTTCCCAAAAGACCTTCCTGGTCCATTAAATGCCAGCTAAATGGGGAAAATGAATTAATTATCAGAGGTCACCCCCTTAACTCAAGAATCAGAAATTAAAAATTAGTAGAAAATTGTTTTCACAGATTGATCTGGGCTTGTACTCAACACTGACTGACAGGGATGAAGTAAAATGAGGCCAACTCAAAAGAGATCTACATGTAAGTTCGTTATGAAGAGCAGATGTTCAGGGCTGTTTTTGGGGGAACAGTCTGGAGTGGGGCTCAGCAGTTAAGGCTCCTTTCTGGAATTCGCTTGATAATGAACAAGGGCAAGATGCAAAGTAGTGATGCAGACATTACAGACAGGTTGTAGTGCAGGACTTAGCTTAAGCTCCCTACCCCATCAGTGGAGAGCTGAGAGCCTCCAGAGGGAAGGCTACCCAAGAGAGCCAACACTTGCTATGTTAAACTCCCATGGAGCTGGTGCTGAGCAGGGTTTGCTTCAGTGGTGGTACTCCTATCAGCCCTACAACTCAGAGCTCCCACAAGACAGTAGGAAGCTTGGGTCCTGTTCCCTCTTCAGCAACAGGAAGGCTGGAGGACCAGAAAAAGCAGAAGTGAAAAATAACCTGTGCATAATCCATGGTACAAGGTCCTTAAGTCATGGCTCCCCATGCAGTTCTAATCAGCTGCATTAACATCTCACTTAGTATGTGCTAAATTCAGACTGTCAATCTAGCTGATCGGTCCAGCCCATCACACTTGCCTGTGCAGTGTGAGAGAACAGAGTACCAGGCCTGCCCTAGATGCAAGAATGGAGAAATCTCTCAGGCCATGGGAGAAGTTGAAAAAAAAGATACCATTTTTGTTCCCCAGGGAGCACCAAATCATCATCCTTACCTATGTTCCAAACCAGAAAGAGACACAGAATTCCCAGGCTCAACTTTGCAGGCACATGCCAATAGAGCCACCGCATCATGGATTCCAATTTCCAGTGGTTTTGATTGCTCTAGGAGAAAGAAATACTGTTTTGGTATTGTTACTGCTTGTAGTATGTGATTTGCTCCAATCCTTGCTGCGCTTTACTGGGACTCAAAGAATCATAGAATCACTCAGGTTGGAAAAGACCACAAAGATCATCTGGTCCAACCATCAGCCCATCACCACCATGCCCATTAAACCACGTCCCTCAGTACCACATCTCCATGTTTCTTAACAGCTCCAGGGATGGTGACTTCACCACCTCCTTGGGCAGCCTGCTTCAATGCCTCACCACTCTTAGAGAATAAAGTTTTTCTAATATCTAACTTGAACTGCCCCTGGAGCAACGTAAGGCCAACACTCAGTGAGATTGCCTACACAGTTCTCTTCCTGGATAAACTGTACCCACAGCACACTGAGACATTATGTTCCCAAGTCTTCTTTGGTGAATCAAGATAAAATTTACTTAGATTCAACTTCAGACCAGTTGTAAGATGAGCTCTTTTTTGCAGAACTGTTGCTTGCCCAGTCATCCTTAATCTTATCACAGAATCACAAAATGGCCTGGGTAGAAAAGAACCTCAAAGGTCATCTGGCTTCAGACCCCCTGCCATGGGCAGGGTTGCCAGCCACTACATCAGGTTGCCCAGAACCACATCAAGCCTGGCCTTGAATGCATTCAGGGATGGAGCATCCACAACCTCCTTGGGCAACCTGTTCCAATTTTATATTTCTACATTTAATTACTCCAACCAAGATACATCCTGTGCTGCCTTAGTGGGGGCTAGAAAATAAGGAGGAATGTGCCCAGTGTGGCCCTTCACCCCTCCCACTTTTTTTTTTTTTTTTTGATAATGAAAAACGCCAAACAACTATGCATCTATCAGAAAATAAGAGTATGAGAGTTAGCAGAAAGAGGTCCAATTCTTTTTTCATATCAGCTAGCTCTTCTCTTAGTTAATCCTACATGTATACAGTGAACCATTATCTTGAAGGTAACACTGATTAACAGTAACCATCATGTTTAACATCTTACCCATATTTAATTCACTAGAGAATTAACACTGTTAAAATAGTTAACTTATACTTAGCATTTCTAAAAAGAAATCCTTCCATGGAATGATGAAACGATATCAAACTATTCTGTATTTGAAACATCTGTGTTTGCTTGCTTGTGTATCAGAAGTGTTCAAACACTAGCATTGTAAATTTGAAAGCTCTGCAAAGTTTCTAGGTACCACTTAGCTATTAAGTTCATTTGTCTAATACTACTGATCCACAGTTTCCTCATAGCATGTGCAGGCTATGGGCTGAGGATGAGAGAAAGCCTTGTCCAAATCTCATTCCCAAGATTTCACAGCCAAGAATTGAATGAAGAGCAAGGCAGTCAACCTCAGGGGAGGCTTGTAACTACATCCATTTTGGAGCAGAAGGGCTATAATGGCTGATGCACTCAGTCAGAGGAAGTGGGTTGAGAGGATTATTGGACTGTGTGACTGAGGTCACTTTAGCTCTGTGAGATCTATTTTGCAATGACAATTTTGTGTTTGAGGACCATGGACCTCAGCCTACATGTTTCTTGTGACCTCTTCCTGCACACAGAGTATGACCAGGCAGCACTGCCCATGCTATCTCTGTGAGTGCTGACTCAAGGGACAAAAACACAGCTAACACCACTGATGCCACTGTATCGCCCCTGCAACATAAGGCTGGCCTTGGCTGGAGGGTCTTTGCGGCTCAGACTGGGAGAAGAGCCCAAACTTCTGCCTTTCATGGAGATTTTGGCTGTGCGGCAAGAGAGAATCTCAAGTACAGGAGGTGGGAGAGGAGAACAGCCCCTGCCCCACTTACCTCCCCCTGGAGACATCGATCAGTGTTTTTGATGAATTGGATCAGATTTCACTACTGCTTTATTTATGTCCCATTGCTGTCTGTGGTGGTAGGAAAATTGTTTAGCAATGAATTTGGTGCTGTGTGCTAATGCAGAGCTAGAGAGCATGTTTCCAATGGGCAGAACAGGGAGGAGCAGTCTGACAAATGAAAGAACTGTCTTAACAAAACACACTGGGAGAGAGGAAAAAAAGGGACTATTGAAAAAGAGAAAAAAAGAAGAAAAAAAAAAAAAAAAAAGAGAAGCAGCATAGAGTTGTGCTCAGAAGCATCTGACAGACACTGAGAAATGCTTTTTTGCTCATCTGCTCATCAAACTCATCTGAGTTTGCAGCTCTCTGCTGCCCACTCCACTGAGATGCTCCTCCACATTAACAGCACACAGAATCTTCTCCACGCACAGCACTGCTTTGCAGCACAAATTCAGACCAGGCATTAGCGTGACCATTTCATGCAAATTTAACTGGGATGTCATTACATGCTACAGACTCCACCAAGAAAAAATATCTAGTGATTTGAATATCATTCAAACCTGAAAGGATGGATCATAAACCGAATTCTGTTCTAGAATAGAAATATTAAGTAAAATTGCTATGGAATCAATGGAAAATTCTCCTTTCATAGAGAATGTTCTCACTGATTTCCAGGTTTATCTCTGTGGTATCCCCTGATCATCATAAGTGCTTAAGAAGAAATTGTAGAGAAACTTTATTACTAAGAACAGTGCATTGGGAAGACTGCCACTACTTCTCAACAGCTAAAAGACTGGTTTAAATTTGAAGCATTAGGTTTTCACTGCTTTCCAAGATCTTTTCAAGCATTAACACATTTGTGCTGTCCAATTAAAATTTAAAGACATCTGTGAGAAATACTCCTGGAACTTCTGCATGAGCCATCTTATCTCCCAGCACTGTGTTTAATAGTAATATTAGCTCTTGGACATATGCCATGTTTGTGTTACTGTGCTTATCTCATTTAAAAATTTTAATCTATCAGGACAGGACTTAATTACTTTGAAGCTGTATCTTTTTTTGTTTGCCAATACAAGCAACACTACTGTGATGACTGAAATACGTTCTGGATTATAAACAGGAAAACTTTCCCATACTCCAGTTCAAAATCACTCACAAGTTCCACAAAAACGATAGCAAAATCCACAGGCATTGAAGGAGCAGGTGTCACACAACCATGAGCAAGCAGAAAAATTCCATAAACTAACTTTCAGTTAACGTTTGCCTTTCAAACATTTATCTGATACAGGCTGTAATTCTCCTTAACCTGTACTGAATGCAGTAATCCACTTTTTGTGTTGATTTTAAGCTGAACAATACTAGAATACATTTTACTCAGGATTTTGAACCATAGTTCTTTGGCTGGCTGAACTATAAAGCTTAATCCACTTCAGATTCCACTTATATACTCATGAAGACCTTTTATTAAATACCTCTGTGCTATTCTAGATTAGCAGTAATTTTAAAACAACATGGTTATGAGCTATGCTTCATTTGAACTCATTTTAATGCGGTAGGCAATCATGATTTCCTTTTTTTCTATACAAATAGAGTGCAAACAGATATAAAGTAGTTTTCCCGTACCTTCACATTAAACAGAGCAAAATGGAATTCAAGAGACCAAAGAATTGGGTTTTTTGTTTGTTTGTTTTTTAAGGAAATTTCTTGATTGTTAATTTCCTTACTTTTGTTCAGTCTCACTATCTAAAGGTCACATCTCATTTTAAGCACACCACGATACACCAAGTTTAAAGAAATGTTCCACAATCCATTAATACGAAAATATGCCTCTGTTAGAATTACACACTTCGTTAAATTGCTATAACCACTTTTTAAGCTCAGGTTTATTTGTATGAGAATTAGACGATTGTAATCAAAATGCATTTCATTTTTTATGTTCTCACTCAACAATAGTAGCACAGGCAACACGATTCCTTCCAAATACATTTGAAACTACTGAGATTTGGAATAGCCGATATCAACTTACCCAACTTCTCTTGACAAAGATGATTATCTCCAGAGCCTATATAAAACAGGAGGCTATTGCCAGGTCTTAATAATCACTTAATGAAAGACTTGGAGTAGACAGACTTGATAATCTTGCTTTAAAATCTTGTAAAAATTGTCATCCTAATCCCAGAAGGACCAACTGAAGGTAACACAATCATAAGCAAACAAAGTGCCCGTTGAATCCCTGATGGAATGACTCTGTGGCAAGCCAGGTCAGGGCTGGAAGATTCTTTTGGCAGTGATAACTTGAACTGCAAAGTAGAAGAATGGTTGATTTTTTCCCCCTTTTAAAGGGACAGCTTGTGTTACTGAAATAGGCCAATGCCACCTGAGAAAAAGAGAGCTTGGCCAGGTGAAGACACTTTCAAAAAGCTTTATCATGCTTGCGTTAGCAATTTAACAAGAGGTGATGCTCAGCAAATTGTGAAGATACCTGACGTGTGTATTAACTGTAGAAAATAAAAAGGAAGAAAACAAGCAGTTAAGCAGAAAACTGCCTGGCATTGGGGTGAAGTGATGGGGAAGGAACAAAGAGCTGGTTACAGTGATATAAGGCAATTTCAGTGGTGCTGAATGATAATTATGTAAGCTAAGAGATTATCATCATTGGAAGCTGTCACTGAAATTTTGCTCCCATTTACTCTGGAAATAATTTTTCTGAAATCAGTGGATTTAAACCCAACTTGATTAAAAGTAGATAATCATCCATTCAATAGCTTTTCTGTAAGCTACAATCAACCAAAATATGTGAGTACTGCTGTCATTCAAACCCTTACAGCAATCAGAGGAAAGAGGGAAAAACAAAATGAATTGACAACTAGCTAGTCTATGGAATAAAAGGTGCCCTAAGGACCAGCTTAAAACCACAAAAGCAAAATATTCCTGATCCCTGTTATAAAGGTAACAGGACAAAGAAGACTTGGCAGACATGATTCGTGTAAAGAGGATGTTAGGAATGGTCCTTGGACTTTCCTCAGTTCCCAAACACACCTTGGGAAATGTTGGGGCTGCTGGTTGGCCCAGTTCAGAAGTGCACTGGGACTGTACTCTCAGTGTCATGGCCCTACAAATAGTACTGACAATTGGGTTGAAGGGATGGACTATGCTCCCCAGCAGTACTTAATTGATTATTGTGGATGTTCCTTATTTTGTTTTCCTTTTGTTAGCTTTCTTCATTAAATTGTATTGCCTCAGCCTTGCACTTCTACCAGCTGAAGCAAGAATGCTATTGTCCAACAAAATCACTGTAATTTCCTGGTATGTTAGATATGACTTTCAGATTTCAATCTTATTTTGAAGGGTTCCTGTCTTCCCATAGAATATTAAATTATAAGTCACATTACGTGTGTAGTAGAGTGTTGCCTTCACCTGCACTTCATCAAGAACTTCGGAACCTGGAGGGCAATGTTTAACAGAATTGCAGCTGGTAAGTATGAAGCTGATAGTGCACACACACACATGCTCAGTCTTACCTTTATTTCTTGCACTTTGCCTTTCACTTTCACCTTATTTTGTGCTGGGGGGAGTTCAAGAAAAATTTCTTCTGAGAAAGAAGAGTGAAGTATTGGAATAGGCTGCTCAGGTTGATGGTGGTGTCACCATCTCTGGAGGCATTCAAGAAAAGGGTAAATGTGGCACTGAGGGACATGGTTTAATTGGCTGATGGTGATGGGTTGACGGTTGGACTTAGATGATCTTAGAAGTCTTTTCCAACCTTAATGAATCTATGATTCTATAATACAAGAAAACGTGTACTGTACTGTAACCAGCGGGATGTTATTGTGTCTAGAATTATCTGATTCTTTTTCGTGTGAATCATGACTAACTGAGGAATTTGGAAACCTTTTTTCATTGACTAGACTCACCTTGTTTTTACCGACTTAATTACCAGTTGCTCAATATCTCATTAGCAAAACTGGAATGAAAGTCCTCTCTGTAACAGCTGACAAAAACAGGTATAGCCAAGAAAATGTGTGCACTGGGATCTGTTCCAACCGTTTGATGTTTGGCTATGAGGACAATTTGACTTTCAACAGGTTGTACCTCATGCTGTGTTTTACCCTGGGACCCTGTAATTTTAACTTTGCTCAGCTGCAGAGCAATACTCAGGTGTCTGGGCAGGGACATTGTTCAGCCCCAGCCTGGACTCTTCAGGACAATGCCGTGTTCTCACTCAGAGCATCACTTGGAGCAAGCAGCTTTCTCAGGAGTATAGTCTTTACATGTCTTCTTTCTCCTGTGTCTCTTTGTGTGACAGAACTGTGTCCATAACAAGTATCTCAAAATCCAGAATGAGAAAATAAGTCATTTTTAGTGTGTTCTCAGCAACACAGTGAAGATACATCATTCATGGCAGTTGCCATGTAAATGCATTAGTGTACTGAAGGCTATGCAGGAGTTAACACAAGTTAAATATATGCTGTGAATAAAGCCTGTGATTTACCTGTAAGAGAGAAGACTGGGAAGGAGGGAAAAAGCTGAGTGTTGGTGCTTTATCTCCCCATGGGTTGAGAATGCAGTGTGAAGGCGATGCACCACCACTTTCTTGCAATTTTTTTTTTTTTAAACAAAGCTCTACAGCATTTCTTTTCATCTGAAGCTACCACTTATTTATTCCTGTCACTAAAACATCTTTCCCATTTAATTTATTTAGAATTGAAAGTGAATTCTTTTCTTTGCGACAGCATTTCTTTAATGTTCTTCATTGAGGTTTTGCTAAAGTTGGTACTAGCACCTCAAAAACACCTGAAAAGAATGATAATCAAACTCTGCAGTCATTCAACTGGAATTATTCCAGTAAGAATGTTTTGTATATTTATGTTCAAAGTAGCTAACACTTTTTTATTTTATTTTAATAAAATTTAATAAACTTTAAAATAAATTTTAAAATTTAATAAATTTTAAATATTTTTATTTTATTTTAAGTGTCTGGCATTCACTTGGTTGAGAAAGTTAAGGTTTGCCTACACCAGGGACATTCAGAATTGCATCAGCTGCAGACAGCTATCACTTGTCCCACAGAAGAAGAATTAATAGGAACCTAGGAGCTGGGCAATACTCCATTCTTCAGCAAAGTCACTGACCTGTTGTGACAAGAAAAGAACGAAGCAGAGGCAGATGAGCTGCCTGAGTGAATACAGCAAAACTTATTTACTGAGATACACTCATTGCATAGTCATGAAAAGAACAAAGATATTGCAGTCATTTTTCTGCAAAGCAAATGTTCCAGCATAAATGTTTCTCCAGAAAAGCAGTGAGCACAATCACTGCTGCACAAAATTCACAGCTCCAGTTCGTAAAGAAAAATGGAAGCTACAGGGAATATGCTGAATCTCAAAACAGTTCATTTCTGGTGGGCACTGATGGTTTTGCTTCTTTCTTTGCATGGTACATATATCCCATGAGATTGTTAATGACCCACACACTGCCTTGCACAGCTCCTCTGGGGCTTCCAAGGAACACAATGAACACTTTATGTTTGTAAACATCTAGACTCCTAAGGCGTTGAGATTTTACAGCAGTCCAGGACTTAGAATAGATTTAATCATTTACCCTGCGTTGTTATTTCTGATATGTGTCAGACACACAGCTGGTCCCTGCAAGCCTGCCAAAACATTCATCACACATCTTACCTTGCCTTATTTTTCGTAAGCCTTGGTCTGTGTTCTGCTAATGATGTTTGACACAAGGAAGAGAAGCTGTGGAGCTGTCCTAATACCAGCAGACTACCAGCTCCCAGGGTCCCCTGTCTGAAAATTTTATTGGAGAGCAACTTCATCAATGGCAGTCTATCTCTCTTGTTGGCCAGTGCCATGAGACTTGATTGCCATTTCTCCTTCCCTTCTCTGCGATCCAATAGGATGCTCAGGGTCACCCAAGAGATATTTTTTAATGAGCTAGTTTTCAAGTATGTGGAAAGAGTGCTGAAATATAAGCTCCCTGGTAAGTGTCCTGAGAAGAAAGGGAAGGATGCACTCAGAGCAGGATGCACTTGGAGAAGTGGAGAAACCACCTTTCCTGACACCACTACTTGGACTGTGCTGGATTCATCAGTACTTACCCTTTCTAAATCATTAAGGAGTCTTGGCCTCACTATGCCCAGCCATAGGACAATTTTACATAATCACAGCATTCCAATATATATATATAATCAGAGCCTGCAGAAGTAGAAAGCTCTCTGGATATAAACAGGGCTCTGTCAGAAGATGGATATCATATTTTGCTCCCATTTAAGAATTCATTTTTTGTAAAATCAGTACTAAGGTGTAAGCAAAATCCAGTGATTTGGCAAGCTTGTTCATTTGGGTGACTGCCAAGGCGAAATGTTATTGCAATGTGTTTGTTCAGGTGAATAAAAGATGAGTGGTGCTCCTTTTAAGTCTATTAAATACCCATTTACATGTAATTGTTGTTGCCGCTTTGTTTTGCAGAAAATTTCTCCTGCATTCAGTTCAAACTGAATCCTTCATTGCTAAGTAATGTTAATGCATGGCAGTACAGGCTATAAAGGGATGTGAATACACTTGAAATACCTTTTTATTTTCCTTGAGAGAAATGCATAGAATAAAGAAAAAGCTAGTCTTGTACTTTTTCATTGTGGATAACTGAAGAGGTTCACAACACCTCTAGTAGGTTCATTAAAAAAAAAAAAAATCTTTCAATCTTCAGAAAATTTGATAGAATTTGTCCGTAAGAGACTGGCACTGATCCTATTTAAATTAATCTTTTTTAAAAGGAAACAAACCAAAAAAGCTGAACAAAATAAAACAGAAATAATTGGATGCTGTGGTATTTCAGGATTTTATGAGTTTTACCCAGTTTTCAAGGATATAGAAGTTAGACAAGAAATGGAATTAAATACTGAATGTATTTTTACATACCACAAAAATTAAAGCAATATTTTTAGGTTGCACTTCAAATTTAAGCAGAAAACCATGATGCTGAAGAAACTTCAGTGCTTCATCACTTATCATTAAAAAAAAAAAACTGTTTTCTTATAGCCAACCTCAATCTCCCCTCATTTGGTTTGAAACCATTTCCTCTTTTCCCATTAAAACAAATCTTGCTTAAATGTCTGTCCCCTCCTTTAGATACTGAAAGGTTGCTAGCTGGTCTCCCCAGAGCCTTCTCTTCTTCAGCCTGAACAGCCCCAGCCTCTTTGTTGTTTCATATTGTTTCATGTTGTTTCATGTGCTCTGTCTTGTTTAAGACATTCAGAACTTCAGCCTCTCTCTAGCCTGATAGGATGTGATTAATCTCACCTTTCTTAGCAATCTGAAAGTCATGTGTTTGTCTAGTTGGTCATTTTGAACTCTGTAGCTAAGTAAGATATCACATCTGAGAGAGGAAGTCAGGATCACTTGTAACAGGATGGACTAAGTTTTCATTTTCCCACATATCTATGAACATGTGCATACAAGTTGCACAGCCACTAAACCAAAGAAATCACACTTAATGTGATCTACTGTGCTGTGTATTACAACAGGACTAAGTGTAGAAACAAAATAAAGTGTATTTTTTTGCTTTTCCATGCAGTTGTGCATGGAAGGTCTTATGCCAGTGTCTTATCTGAGTGAACATTTGACACAGTGTTCACTGAATGGGTATTTTAAATGAAAGGAAAAAAAAAATACTCCGCATCATAATTGAAATTTCTATTTATTAATAAGTGGTGCAGTTTTAAAGACAGAACATAAAAAATCAGTTAAGAAGTATTGTTTGCATAATATATTGAAATAAACATATTAAAGTTGTTCAAATATTGGACAGTGCCAGAATATAAATTACACATACAGTTTAAAAATTACAATAAATAATATTATAAAGAGCACTAAAGGCCACTTGTATAAAAGTTGTGTTCCCTTGTCAGCCAGAATCTGAAAAGCATCTTTGTAGCATGGAGAAAAATTCAGTGAGCAAGGCACAAATACTAGTAATAATAAGATGCCATAACTAGAAAACAAAATGCAGTTGGCTATGTAACCTTCAGTCTCAGCATATTCTTAGGATGGAGATAGGATCCTGCTTCCAGGATTTTGCTTCACTTCACTTCAGACAGAAGCTGCTAAAAGCTGAATTGGGAAGGATCAAATCTTACAGCCTAAATAATCATAAGCAATAGTGATATCCAGGGTCTCAATTCCCATGGTGCCCTACTGTGGACACTTGAGAACGACCCCTTTCTCTTCCAGCACCCCTGAAAACGGTCTTCAAAAGGCAACACCCACATTCAATTGAGTATCTCAGAAGGTGGTACCATTCCAAATTCGTGAGACACTGCAGAAAATTTAGGTTTGCTCTTGGCACCTCAAGTTTAATGGAGGAGGCTGTGGGGTGCAAGGAATTATAATCCAGCTTTTCTTACATGTTTTGTTCTGAGTGGGACAAACCCAGCTCCTGAAATGCCTGGACTCCCAGTAGGGCTGAATTTGCTCCCTAATCTGATTCTGCAAACTGATTGGGTTGTGATGCTTGCTTGAAGGCCATGAGTCAGCAGCCCCACGATGTGTGGATCAGTGATTATTTTGCAGCCTTCCTGGGCCACAATTTGAAGCAGAAAAATATAAAACTGTTTCCACTCTGAACTGTAACAATGCAGCAAAGTTAGAGATAAGAATAGAACAAATATATCCAAAGTTAGTTTAGGAACAGATCCTATCGATCTCTCCATGTGCTTAAATCCTATATATTCTGACAGAGCCAAATCAATTTATCCAGTGCAGGGAAAAGCAAGGACAGCAACCATTACCTGACCAGGTTTTTCTGAAAGTATTTATTTCCTAAATGGAGCATAAAATACTTATACAACTGTGTACTTAGACTAGGCATTCATTTCTGCAACAATTAATGTTCTTGGTTTGAATTTAAACTGAGGAAGATTGATTGATGATAATGCAACAAAGAGAGATACTCAATATAAACATACGTACTTCTTCAAAAACTTACAGATTTATAGTCACTTTATGGTGACAGAAAAATCAGTGTAAAAAAAAAACAGGTAAAAAAAACTATTTTCCAATCAGTGTTTTTCCAAGGAAATTCATAAATAAAGGCAGATTAGGACCTTATGCTGACCCAGTGCATCAGTGTGAGCAGGTTTCTTAGTGACTTAAGGAGAGCAGAGGAAAGGCCCACACTTCCTAATTAATAAAAACATTTCAAGCCCTAAAATGGATTCTTGATTACTTGCAGGAAATAAGAGTCAGCAAAGAGCAAATTCCAATAGTCTTTAATCCTAACTATATGGAAAGACAATGGAAAGATATGAGTCTAAGAAAACTAATAGCTGTTAAACTGAAATGCCACATATTAATGAAAGATAATGGTAGCAATGGTAATGGGAGGATGGTTGGACTAGATGACTTGTAGGTCCTTTCCAATCTTGTGATTCTATGATTTTATGATAGAATAAATCTGTTATTTGTTCACATTCATTTTAATACGAAAAGCAGCATAAACTCAGAGGCCATTCTCATCTGAAATTGTGAATGTTTCCTTTTTTTTGTGGTAAACCTACTTCAAAATAGAGACCCTGACCTTTTAGATCACACCACAGATACTTTATTATGCAGTGCCCAGTGTCTATGGCAGACACACAAATGGCGTGCCTTGGTTGATGCACTTTCTGGACTCAAACTGAAGTGCAGTCTGATGAAGCTCTTGTGCACATTCCAGATCTGAGATGATCACCAGGTTTCACCTTGTTGGTGACATCTGGACACATTTACATTGTCAACACTGAGAGCAGAATGAATGCTCACCCTATTTTTAATCCGGATGATGCAGGAGGACAGAGCTGCTGAGCAGAACACTCTTCTGAAGTGACCAGTGGCTGATTTCAATGGAAATTAATTCACTGGGTAAAAAATAATAAGTTTTTCAGACCCTCCTTGGCTCTCCCCCCATATTTCTTCTAGAGAATTCAGAGATGTCTGCTGCATAGGGCATTGCTGAACTTGCCATTATCACCTTCTAAAAGGCCTTAACTGCAACTTAATATGCCATTAAATATTTCATGATGTAACTACAGACACCTGACCCTGTGTTTTTAATCTACATATGATAAACTGGTGCTTACAACCCACAGGATATGCTAACTTACAGGTGTTCAGCTGCTATGCACACAGAATGTAGCATAGCCCAAATCCTCCTTTCCTTGGCTGCACGTTAGTATGCAGATAAGATTGATCCAAGCATCTGCCACTCCTTGGATTCTCTCTTGGAATTAATATACCTTTACAATGAGCTGATTTATGGATTTTCAGCCAGACTTAATACTGAGAAAAGATTACCTTTGTATGACTTGGCATGAGAGAAATTAGAAACCTGAACTGAAGAATTGGAGGCAAATTGGGCAGAGAAGTATGTAACAGCATATTTATGCACAACTGCATAACAAAGACATTCACAAAAAAAAAAAAAAAAAAAACAACTCAGATTGCCCTTGCTTGTGGACTGCCTTGATTTTTGATTGCTCAGATCTATAAAACATTTTAACAAGTTCCAATCTTCACTGAAATCAGTAGGAATGCCCAGCACTTGATGCACTAGAAAAACGAAGCAACATCGGAAGAAGTCTAGCAATATTAAGATAAGTTTTCATTCCTTTTCATTCATCTCAGGAGGTCACTGATAAATGCTCCTGTATAGAAAAGGCTGCAGTAGCTACATATAGGTTCTTCCAAGAATCATTGATAGTCAAATAATTTTTCTCAACATGCCAAATTACAATGAATTACAATTTTGCAGCTAGTTTTATTTTCATTGATTTTAGCCATGAAACTGCAACAAACAGAGGCTGTCTTTCAGATGAACAGCTACTTTGTCAAATAAGTAACTATTAAAATTGTATCTCATTATTGGCCTCAGATCAGCTTCATGGACTCAGCTCAGTCTTCGAAGGCTGTAATTGGTGTGATTTATTTACACAACTAATTACAAGAATTTCTTCTCCCTGAAGATCTGGCCAAGAAGGCTGTATCATGATTTTAGCTGATGAAGCAGATGAAATATTAGAGTAAGAAGATCCTATTTCTTTATAGATAGCTCTTAAGTAAACAATGAAGATGAAGACAATGCCTGACAATATCTGGAACAGAATAGAAGTTCCCCAGATGGAATGATTATCATGAGATGTCAACAACTCTGAAGAATCATCAAACATAGTGCTGCTGACAAAGTGGGCAAAACCCAACAAGGTATCCTCCACCAGGCCTGTGCAATTCCCAGTTACAGAGATACACAGGAATACCTGTAGGGTATCTCTTCTTGTCCTCTAATTGCATGTGCCAACAATGCTTAGCTGTACAGCCATGACAGAAAATTCACTTTCTAACATCCTCCCTAGCCATATCCTTATGCCTTCTTTGGTGGTAGAGACATTAGACGTCTGGAGAGGCAGAAGTCATTCTTAGCAGGAGGTGCAACAGGAGCTATGGCAGAAGCTGCACCTTGGATGATGCAGTGGAGGTGAGATCTTCATCCACGGACTGTGGGTGTCTGTGACATGTTCCTTGTACCCTGTGCTCACTGACTGTGCAGATTAGTTTTCCACCTGCTGTAAAGAGTGCATAGCAATTGAAATTGACATCAAATGGATGCTATTTCATGGACACTTGGATTGAGATTCTGCATAGGATATTTGGATAGGCTGTGTTTCACTAGCTGTATAGAAACTGCATTCGCACTGTGGTGGTGAGATCTCAGATTCATTTCTGCCCTGTGCCCAGTGGACTGTATTGTTTTCCTGCTCTCTCTACAAGTTTCCAATTTGCACAGGAATTGTTTGGCTGAGGCCTAAGGTGTAATCTTTTACCTCTGCTGCTCAGGGACAGGACAAAATAATGGTATTTATTTATTCATACATTGAAGTTAAATATGACTGTCATACATGGATTTGCAGCTGTCCATTTCAAAAAGAAATTGTAAGCTAGACACACATCTTCCTGCACTGTGGAGCTCCCAGGGAACAGAAAAGTGTTGCTCTGCAGATCTGAGAAGCTTAAAGCACTTCACAAACAATAGTGAATTGAGCCTCACAACCTGTATTTATGTAACTACAACTCCAAATAAACACACGGGCAAACCGAAGAACATTTGTATTATGGAACTTAACACTACATACACTATATAACTCAGTAAAAGAGTGGAAACCTGAGCTTCTCTGCAATGAACAACTTTTTTTTTTTCTTTTTTTCTTTTTGGAACAGAGAGAAACCTTGGCCCCATAAGAAAGAAATAGACTTAGCAAATTTTTTTCTACAAAATAGGATTGTAATCATGTTTCCAGCAATTTTATAATCACTAGTGGTAATTTTCAAAGTAGCTTGTACCCCCAATTTCAATTTAGCATTGTATTTCATAGGTAGTTATATAATAGATCACATGAGAAACATTTAGTTTACAACACTATTTCAGTAAGGTCATTTGCTTTGACAGCTTTTTCCCTGCTTGAATATTACATGCTTTTGGCTAGATAGGAGAGAGATTGAGTTACTTATATTGGATAATGGATTCAGATTTTTTATTTCCACAAAAGGCCAGTGCTCCTGAAACTAATTTGACTTTGCTGCTCTGTTTACAAAGTGTAGCAAGGACCATATCTTGGCTGTTACCAATCCACCATTGTTGGTTGTATTGAAGAATATCAGATAGATATGTATCACAGAAGAAATCAGCTGTACCATTTATATAGGGTAAAGTCATGCAAACCATGCTCAAAACTAAGCTCCTTAGTTTTGGTAGCATGAAAAAAACTGCATTAGTAAATTGTATGAAATGGTGCAGAATGACTACCACTAATATCACATGCATCTTATGCAGCCATTGGTGTTTTGAACTAGTAAGCTTTGGGTGCAGAGTAAGTGAGATATACAAAGTATGCTTACATTACACGGAGAAGTCAGCCAGTGACTACCCCCCCACGCACTTCTAAACTGGCTTATTTGAAGGGGTCCATATTGAATCTGAAATTCCATCCCCTGTTGAAGACAAAGGCATGGAGCCACTTGGTGTAAAAGGGTCGGTGTCTGTGTCTGTTTCCCCCTCTGCTAGGTAGCGTTTCTCTCTCATCCATGCAGATCCCCCATTGGGGCCAAATGGGAAATCATCTCTGTCTTGGGAGATACTGAAGCCACTTGGGGAGCGCTCAAGTTCCTCATGGTTGACGGAGAGAAGGGACAATGGGGTATCGCTGTCTCTTGTCAAGCTCCTTCTCTGCCGTGGAGACACTTTATCTGAGTAAGGGCTTTGCATGTCTCCTTGGGAATGGTAGCTAACCTGGGAGTCCATTAATGTAAATATAGGCAGAACTGTTGGCCTTTCTGCATATGATGTTGAGGAAGGTGTGGCTTGCAGTTTGCCAGAGTTTTGCCCACCTGTTGAAAGAGGCTGTGAATGAGTCATGTGACCGTGTGCTGAGAAACCATACGGACTGACTTTGTTGACTGGAACTTGCTGGAAGTTGTAAGGAGTTTCACGAGTACACTGATCAGTGTATTTGTAGATTACTGTTTTTAATTCGGAATACTTGTTTTCTTCTCTCTTTTCTTTTGCAGGAGAAGCAATTTCTTTCAGTGGACTTATCTCAGCAACTTGTATTTGCAACTGTTCCATATGATGCATATGCATATCAACAAGAAAATCCAATTTCTTCCCCATGTCATTTACCTGAAAAATACCAGTTTTATTATATCATTTCAAGTCAGCTCTTCGATGAAACAGCCAATGCTTCCATAGGTGCACTGCCCCCTTTGTGTTGTCACCTTTATTGGTCATGAAGGCAACTATACAATAATCATGACTTTGCCTTGGAAACTGGACTGCAGTGGATTCCAGGTCATCCACTAATTGCCTCAAATTAAGATCAGTCACTATGAACTGTGTCAAATATCTTTTTTAGCATTGCTGCATATTTGGCAATCCACTATTCAATGACAGTTTACAGCATTATGACCAAAGTCTTGATAGCATACAGTAAAAAGACATTACCAAAATGTGACAGATGAAGTTACCTTTGCATACAAATCTACTAACCCTTAACAGTCCCACAGCATCAGGGTTATATACCAGTACTACTTTCCTTTGTCTTTGAAAGTATGTTGTGCCTGACCGTTTGCATTCCATGACAGGAATTGAAATGAGTCAGTGCCACTCGGCTCCGTCTTAGTTATTTTAAAAATAAGAGTGTCGTTAAGCAAGAGGCTAGTATTCATAAAGAGGGCTCAAAATACCTGAGTGAGCAATCCTTTTAAGTGTCAAACCCTTCAAAAGAACGGTGTACTCATGGTAAAATACCATGTATAGATTGGAGTTTAAAGGTATGAAAAAGTCTCGCCTAAACCATATGGTTACGGTCTGCAACCATACATAATTATATTCATTAAACAGGTCTCAAAATGCATACTTCCCAAGTAATTAAATTATTTAACAGAAAACTGATCACATAATTCTGTGATCATTAGTGCAAGACCTGTATGAGTCTTGATCTTCAACAGTACAAATTTGCATAGGTCAGACAAAGAATCACATAGAATTCATATCAACTTATTCTCCATTGTGGTTGTGAAATTACATACCTGCCGTTCAACTTTAACAAATTTGCCCATCATACTTTGGTCTTCAGTATCTTCCGTAGATGCTTTGGCTACATATGGATCATTTCTATAAAGAATGAATATCTTTGTTAGCATTTAATTTTTCTTTGCATCACAGTAAGTATTTTATATAAGAAAACTTAAATGTCATCTTGCTGGTATATCAATATAGCTTCTTGGAGTCCCACTGAAGAAACGATTGGACAAACAGGATAAAAAGATCACTGTATACAAGTTCAATACATTTCTAAAGAATGAACTTCTGATCTTGAGATTAAAATTATATTGTTTTCAATATCAAGATAGAGATCAAGGCAAAACAAATGTAAACCAAAAAAGCTCAAAATGGAAATGAAATTAGTTTCAAACTTGGTGGAATAATTTTAGATTTGTGAAAAATGTTGAAGTAATAGATAACAAGGCTACAGATGTCATACAGCACTATTTTGAAGTATAATTCTTTCCAATTATTGTGTTTAAAGACTTTGAATACAAATTTCATGGTTGAGTGTTTTTTTTTCTCCATTCCATTAACGCAAATAGAAAATGGCAGAGAGTGGAAAAGCAGAGACAACATGGCCTGGAGATTTAAAATAGATTTCTGAATAAATTTTCTGCTATGCATTAAGTCCCTAGGCTTTATTCAGAGTGTATTAAGAGTGAGACCTTTGCAACCTACTGCAGGGAACCTGCTTTAGCAGGGAGGTTGGACTTGATCTCCAGAGGTCCCTTCCAATCTTACAATTTGTGATTCCATGTAATTTCCTATTGCTCACACATCACATAGAATAAAGTGGTAAGAAGATGATCACTGCTCAAATAAGGAACCCTGATTTACAACACTGTAAGATCTGAAACAGTCATTGTTAAGATAAATCTTTACCTAAAGAGTTCCAAATAAACTTCAAAGAAACCTATGTCTTTCCATAATCTATGGCAAAATCTAAAGAACTTGGAAAAGATATTCCCTGAAACTTTTGTTTTAACAGATTCAGCCCTTGTCCTCCCTTTCTGATGAAATTCACAGCTGTGAATAATATCTTAAAGCAGAAGCAAAACCAAAACATGCCAAATTTTGTAGGTTGGGTTACTACGGACAGGGCTTATGCAAATTTTGCAATCTGCTTAGTTTCCCAAATGGTTATTGTTTCTTCCATATGTGTAGGGCTCTGTCTTTGTATTTACATATTTTCAGATTTTTTCTGCGTGGGATTAACCAGATAAAGCCAAGTTAATTTATTTTCTGTAAGATTACTTTTGTCCTGAGAAACTGTAACAGCTTTGGGGACAGATTGTTGATAGTTTTGTGTGGTTCTTCATGGGTATTTAGTGACAGATTGATAGATGCAAGTAACAGAAAAGTGTCATTTATTATAGAATTATTGCTACCAGGATTGCTGCAATACAATACAACGTGTAATTTTCACACCCAGAAACCTGTTCTTGCAATTCATTTTCAGTAACTCCTTCTAATCATTGATTTTAAAGCAGAATTGTTGAAATTCTGTACTTGCCTTTTGGTGGGGATTGTGATAAAACTTTTTTTCACTTCAAGTTGATAACTGGCTTACTTAAAGCTGTTGGCAATTTCTTAAAAGTTTTTAAGAATTCATTGCATTCATTGAATGCTAAAAATTCAGTACTTTAGCAATTGCATGTTCATATTTCATATAAAATCATATTTACAAAACACAGAGAAGCTGACCAACGTAATTAAGAAGCCAATAAGATTAAATTTCCATTATACATTGTCCTAAGGGAAGCTAGTCTTGTTCAACATTCACACTAAAGTATCTTGTAGCAACATATCTTTAATATAATATTGTTAATATAATATTGTTCTAGCTGTATGAATGAAATGCATGCTTTTTGGTATGAGTGAACATTATATTCTTGTTTAGGTCTGTGCAAAATACTAAGAATAATTTCACCTGGGAGACTGCTGTGAAGGGTAAGAAAAAGCTCCTCCCTTTTGGGATTTCTTATGCTTGGGAGTAGATGGAGGTCCAGGTGTAAAAATCATATCTACTCTGAAAAAAAAAGAGAAGTGCAACTGCATAAGACCACCTCTAAATGCTAACATAGCAGGTTAGAACATGAAAGAAACTACTATGCATCTCTGCCGGACACAGTAGCAAAGACGCAAAAAGGAGTTTTGAAAATAGAGCTTAAAAAAGTCAAGACAAATCTTGAAAAAGCAAACTAGATATTTCCTAGGCACTACAGTACTGCTGGACTATCCGTTAATGCCCCAACAGACTCCTTTGGCATCTAATTATTCTTAGACACAATAAGCTGCACTCACCCAGTTTTGTCTGGAAATAGCGAATGGAGACTCAACTCAGAGGTGAAAATTTTGGAGAGAGTAAGGAATATTCATCTGACCAAATCTGGTTTAAGGAGGAATGAGCTGTGTCACAAACACCGCTGTTTACATTGACTAGCTCTCCATTAACTAAGAGAGGAATCTCACAAGACTTGAACTCCACAAGTGGCGTCTCTTTACAGTGCTGAGCTGAACATCACAGAGCTGAGGCTGTGCTGTGATTTTTGCCTGGGCTCACCTGGGATGAGTCTTCACCCCACACAGCACTGCCATAAATACTATGCGAGACAGGCATAATCACATCAGCACCTCTGCAAATTCCAGCAGTTAAGCATCTGGGAGAGATCCCCTGCTGCTGAAAATCATGCAACAGCTCAGTCTAAGTTAGTGGAATGACCTTCAGCACAGGGCTTATAGACCATGCTGCAGACACAGATTTCTGAGGTCATGAGCTCTCCTCAACTTTCTGAGCTCAAAAAATATTTTCATTTACATTAATTTACACTTGAAGAGATTTAAAACCTTTTGTGCTAATGTGTTTTTGCGCTTGTATTAGATATTTCACTGCACAGTTCAAGAGGTAAACCAGCCCGAAGGAAAACTGTGTAGTGCAACTACAGCTTTTATTGATCATCTGCAAAAAGGGGAGAAGGGGAAAATTTCACTATAATCAAGTAGTCAAGAAAATTTTTGATTACTGCATTCTACATATGAGCCAGCGCTCACTTCTGCTGCAGCTACCCCAGCTAGCTGCTCACTCACCTTTACTTTTTGGGGAAGAGGCTTTCTGATAGATCAGCTACACTGATCAGAGAGTGTCTGGGTGGCCTTGTACACATACAGACCAACTAAACTTTTTCCAGCACAGTTCTACATTTTCCCCACTTCCCAGAGGATTCTTACCTTGCCTGAAGATACTTTATTCTGGAAAGCATATCAAGATGCCCTGCTGAGTATTGCTCTATCACATCCTTTACATCATAAGGCCTCAAAGTCTCCTTGAATTTTTTTTTATAGAGACGAAACTGTAGTATTCTGTATAATAAAGGAAAACATTACTAAGCTTCTGTATAAATTCCAAAATGATCATTTGCATCTTCATTGAATATTTGGTAAAGACTCTAGATGTTGGGAAATCGATCATGTTATTTACATACTAGGCAATAATAAGCAGAGAATCCCTAATGTCATACCACGTGTGAAAACAGTTGGCTTTTCATAACTAATAGAATAGATTTTCCTTAAAATATTTACATACACACGTCTTTTTCAGTATTATCTTAGTAACTAGAAATGGTTCAAAGCAATACATTCAGATGGGGAACTCAAAGATCACAAATAACAGGAGATATTGAAGCTGAAGGCATGGTTCAACTTAATATGAAACTAGTTTATGGTATATACAATGCTGAACCATTATCAACTTGGTTTTCATTTTGCATCTGGGAGAGTTCTGGAGAGGAAATGCTAATTCATTAGGAATGTGGAAGTTCAGTAGTCAGCTACTGAATTTGTAGATAAAAGGAGAAAGTGTTAGAAATTCCTAAAGTGTCCTTGAAAAATTATCAGTGTAACATTATTGTTATCGCTGTGGCATTGTTATTATTATGCGGCATCATTATTATTATCATTACTACTGGTAGTAGTAGTATTAAATATCCTAGTAACAATAGAATCATAGATGTAATATGGATCCATGCTGACAAGACACCTTGAAAACTGCTTGACATACTTTTCTAAAATACTTTTCTGTTTATTTATCTGTTCACACTTGTATCTTGGAAGGTTAAACAAATAGGTAATAAACGTAAGAATGAAATACCATTTAATTTCTTAATTAATTATCTTCTTAGGCTTGAAATCTAACTATTCAACTCTGTTACTTGTAAATCTTTCAGTGTTTGAGTTTGCAAAACTTGAAACGTGATTATTATAGCCAAAATATGTATGATAACACCCAAACTGTATTTAAAATAGGAAATGCACTGCTAGTGATTTCAGTTTAAATTCCTGATTATGACTCTGGAAACCCATTAAGAGGTCTTGTCTGAATGAATTGCCTTCTATTATCCTTCAAGGTCTGGATAAACTGAATAAGGGGAAAAAAAAAAAAAAAAAGGGAGGAAAAAAATCTTGTCTTATGATTGAGTTTAAAGGAAAATTACATGAAATCAATTAGATTTGCACAGGATATGGGAGAGGAAGTTTTGCAAAAATAATAATGACATGCCTTATGGAAGTGTACAAAATAGGGCAGATGTAAAGCCTGCATTTGAAACCAGGTATCAGGAGGAAAAGAAGCAGGTATCAGGAGGAAAAAAAAGGGGGAAATTATAGAGGGAGCAAGAATGCAGAAGCTTCCAGCAGGATGGAAGCAGTATTAATTTTTATTTTATTTGTATATATTAGTCAGACAAATCAGTTTTGGGTTATTGATAAAAATGATAAAACAAAAACAGACATCATGCTCATATAGAAGAAAATAAAGTATTGAATTCAGAGCACTAACTTGTTATGGAAGTTCTGATGAGAATAAATTGGACTTACAGACAATTGCATTTTGTGAAAGAAATACCATCTGTAACACTATTTTCCTTTCTCAGCCATTGCCTGGTTATTAAAAATGAAGTTCATTGTGGAGGTGAAAAAGATGAATCCTGCAGGTCTTTAGCTATAATCTACCAACACAAGTTGTTATAGCATCCATAAGTTAAAAAAAAAAAAAAAAAAAGCTTTTCTGAAGTCATTAATTAAGATACTGTAAATGAATGTTCTCTAGTAATGCAGGTCTTACTCTGTGATACCATCAACTGAAAATGTGAAGTAAGATCTTTCATCACTTAGTAATTGACTGGAAGTTATTCTACATGGAAACCACACTGTAACTGAACGATTGTGAACTCACTGAGAGCTTTGGCATGAACTGGGAATACATACAATCATAATCAGTAACAATGGGACATCTATCCCATACACCTGAAATTGATTTATGAGCCCTTCTAGAGTTAGAGTATATAATCATCTTCTTTGAATATTTCTAAAGAACATAGTAATTGGGGCACTCCAGACTTTACATTTTTCAACTAGGTGTAGTAACTGCCTGATCCAATATTTAACAACTACCAGAAAAAAAAAAAAGAAAAAAAAAGAAAAAAAAAAGAAAGAAATGCAATGAAAGCAGAATATTTTCCTTGAGAAAATTATAAAGAAAGAGTAAAAAAATCTGAGTGTAGAGGTAATAGAGTACAGTGAACTAATTTTGTGTTTTTGACACGCTAAGCACATTATCAATCCTTACTAGAATTTTTAGCTTCAGGGAATATTTCATTTGATGCAAAACTAGAAATGACACAAACCATGGACTGATCAAATGGAGATCTCAGCATCTATTAAACTATGACAGACAACAACGTATATTGCAGGGTCATACAAATATAAATAAAGAATATTTATGTCAGTTGAGGATTTGTTGCTAAACTAAAATTTATGCTTTACATGAATGTTACAGTAAGTTGAGCAGTATACTATAATTATAGTATTATATTATTAAATTATTATATTAATATATATATATTATATATATAATAACATATATTATATGTTATATTATATATATATTGTATATTATTGTATATTATATATATTATTATAGTATATTTTAATCATAAAGTGTATAATATTGTTTTATAATAACTATGTTTGTGGATGGTCTTGAAAAAAATGGCCCAATAAATGTTACTGTAAAATATTTTCCTTCCTGCATATTTTTAAAGAGGACTTTGAAAAGGATTTGCCAGATGTTTTTCTGTTATCTACAGTTGTCTAGTCTATTGCATTCATAAAAAGAAGAACAGCAACAAGAGATTTCCTAAAGCAAACACTCAAAAACTATGCAGAGGTTAAAGACATTTACCTGACAGCTCTGATGGCTGTCTTGAATGTTGGAATCATATCTTCCATAAGAAAGTCACTACTGTCGCCTCTCTCTTCTCCCCCAGGTTCCCCTGTTCCTGCATCTGCAAGGTAGGTCACAAAAAGATGTGTGAACATCTGACAACTTAAGTGTAATTTAGTAAAAGAACATCTTTTGCAGGTTTCTCTTACTGATCTCATGTAATTTCAGGGGAAGGATAATCAAGCCCCCAGAGAAGGCACCCAAACTATATCCATGGTAGTATGGATATATGTTCTGAGGCCAGCTGGCACAATAAAGAAAAAACTGCCATTGAGAAAACATGCCAACACAGACAACAACAGAAAAATGTGTTGAGGGAAGCTGAGGAAAAACATCCTGTCTTATTGCACAGACACCCATAAATGGAAATGCTGGGGGTAGCTTTCCTAGGGAGAGTGGGAGAGAAACATCAGTTCACTCTACAAGACAAGGTTTAAAGGGTTTGCAATGAGTAGATATTTATGGGATACCTGGTCACAGGTCTGGATGCAGTCCTGCTGGGAGTTGCCTTAATGTATAATCCCTGCTAATAAGCACAGCCATGATAGCAAGTGCTTTTGGGGGGATACAGATTCACTGATCAATGTGCCCTATTGTCCCATTCAAGTAGGTTGATTACATCACCAGCCAAATTCAATATCAATTGCTGTTTTTTGGAGGACCATTGCCTTATTTCAAGCACTGTGTTGCCTGGACACCAGCATTTGTTTCCTGGAGCTTCCCCAAATGTGCCACATAAAACCAGGAGATGGCAATGCTTGTTCCAGAAAGTTTAAAACCTTGAACAGAAGATGCAGAGGAAGAAAGTAAAATGGGGAGAAAAAGGAATGGATAGAAAGAAATCAACACAGATGGGCTACCTTCTGAGCTTTGCCAAAAAGCGTACGCTTTCATTCGGAATGCAGTGCGAAAACGCTCCTTATTATTCAAGACAACATTCTTAGGCTCTTTTGAAGGACTTTCTTCAATGGCATCTACATTCAGAGGGGTAAATAGCTTTCCTTTAGTATTGGTACCACGAACCCGATCCAAGAGACCCAGCTTTTGGCTACAAAATAAGCAAAAGTAATCATTTTCCTCCTTTGTACACTTTAAACTTTTTTTCATGATTCTTTAAATATAGAAGAGGCTAAATAAATGTTTTGTACACAAGGACACTGCTGGGGCTACCATAATACATCAATGTCTTTGCAAACAACAGCAAAGCTCCACATATAATTAGCTGATTTTTATGAGAATTTTTTTATTGTATCAATGTTGAAAATGTTACCAGAGGGTCTTGCTATCCTCTTTATGTAATACATCACAATGCTTCAGCTCCAGTACCACATCTGAAGCATTAGATTTTTTATTAAGAAAACATTATTACTTAGGCAGTTATATTATCTAAAGGCAAGGATGCTTGGCCATTCCCTCATTAGTGCTTTCTCGAACTACTGCATCTACAGCAGACTATTAAATGAATAAGTCATGTGCATAGTTGAGAGAAGAAGAAAGGTCAAATGTGCCGTGAATCAAATAAATTGTCAGCAAGACACTGGAAAGGCATTGCCAAGCAATTACTTGCTACCTGGTAGGGCATGCCACCCAGTTCTCTCCATGATTCAATTTCAGTAATTTCTCACTATTCCAGAAATTTAAGTTCAAATTGTGGCAAAATGACTTATTTTGTTGTTCTGATGATTCCTTGCACTGTCTTCTTTCAGAATAATGTACATCAATGACAATGTATAGCTAGAGTTACATCTACCTGCCATCTTACTGGCATCAGTAACCCTTCTCATAGCCTAATGACCATAATAGTCTTAAAAGTAATTAGTAATACCACTGAAAACAGCAGAATAAAAGAATTTGCTACTTAGTGTATTAACTTAAATATGCTCTGAACAATTTGAATGTGATAGGTGGTATAAACATTTGATTTTCTTGTTTTGCTGCTAAAAATATATTGTTTTGAATACTTGATAAAAAAATGTTAAATGTGGGGCTAAGTCATGAGAAGAAAGACTGCCCCTTACTCCAATCCAACAGTGCAATGGGGAACAGCTCTAGAAAGAGGTGAATTGTGCGCATGTGGCCAAGAGGCAAATCTATGTGGGAAAGTAGGGCAAGAGGGCTCAGTGGAGTAGAGAAAAAAATAGAGCAGTTGACAAGTTTATGAGAGCCACAGGCGAGAGCAAAGCTGAAGGAAAGAACTGATGGCCAGGATAATGAGATTTGATTGGTATTCAGAGAGGTGTTTGTACATATTGTTCAGCTGAAGCCGCTGAACATGCTGGTGTGGAAGAGCAAGGATGGAGAGGGTCCACCCTGGAAGGACATAGCGGTCAGAGCTAGTTACTTCTTTGCAGACACTGTGATTGGAGAATCTCATTCACAGGACTATTTATTCTCTGTTTAAGGAGTTATCATCTTGATCAGATGGATTTTTATGTGTTCTAGCAATGTTTTTGGAAGCTGTGGATCTCTGGTATCACCTCTTTGACAGAAGAAGCTATTTCCACCTCGGAGCTCTGCCTGTGGCAGTATACCACCACAGCAGAAGTTTTTGGTATAATGTTCTTAAAATAGCAATTTAATAGATTTAAAGAAACAGCAGCTTTCATAGGACTGCTGACTCTAGTACGAATACTGCAACTTACAGCATACAAAGTTCCTAATTTATTTGAGCATTGCAGGTTACTGTTGTTGCAGTTATGTTTTTTTTGTTGGCATTTTTTTTCCCAATATAAATTACTGGAGCCCTCATCTTTACTATCAGATTCATATTAACAATTCTTTTGACCCAGAAGGGAGAGCTGGACTAGATGATCTCCAGAGATCCCTTCTAACTCCTGCAATTGTTTGATTCTGTGAAATATCCCTCTCTCGAAAGACTGAAGTACAAACATTTGTGTAGAATGTTTTCTCAGACTTTCTGAATTTTGTTGTTGACAATATTGCAATACATATGAATGCAGTTTCTGCTTCCCATTAAATTCAGATGTGCATATTAAATGTATAGGTGTATGAAAGTGTGGAAGTGGCAAAACTATGAAGGACTTGTGTGAGTATGGAAACGCACAGCTAGTCCTGATGTATCAGCAGTGCCAGGCCTGAAGTCAGCGATTTGAGGAGACAAAAGCACAGATCTGAGAGAAGAATTAGAATGGTCTTAGTGAATTGCATTAATAACCCAGATTTTGCCCTCATGTAATTTCCTGAGTAATTAATAGCTTTGGGGGAAAATGTACAAAGTACAGACAAATTTGCACAGAAAAAAATCAAGGAATAGTTTTCTGTTTGTAGCAAAATAATATTACTTTTTGACAAGCCAATTTCTGTGGCAGATTAGTCAGCACAAAATGTGTAGGGTAGTTTCATGTTCAGCCTTAGGAATTATTTTAAAAATTAATTCCATTATGTTTCCTTCTGGGCTGGACTCTGCATCTGACTGATCTGAAGCAGTGCTCCAAAGCCTAAACTAATGGTGAGTACTGGACCTGAGCAAGTGATTTGCATTAAGGTAGAGAAATCTGTGGTCTCTTTTCTGCATTACTGTTGCTTATCTGTTTTCTCAGAGGCCTTGTCTGAGAGCAGTGGTGCTTAGCAGGACATTCCAAGGCATCCCTGGGAACTTTATTCAAGCTCTTATACACTATATATAGAAAATACATATACAGGAGAGATATTTTTTTTTCAGTTCAGGGACAGAAATTTCTGACCTACCTCAGAACAGCAGTGGTCAAGACTTCATAACCTGCTCATAGATCAAAATAGTCCTCTGCATTCAGCAAAAAAGGCTACTTATTTGCTATGATATTCTCCACTGCATATATAGCTACCCTCTTTTTAAATTTTTTTTTTAATGTAGCTAATATCAACATAAACCATTCCTAAATTGCCTTTCCAGAGTTAACTTTTCCCATTGATAAGTGCCAGCTCATGAACAAATTATTGTCTCAAGACTGTTGCTCAGGCACCTTAGGTTTAGAATTTTACCAATCTGTTTTAACTCTTTAAAATCATGCCTAAGATTGATTTTTAGTCTCCTTTTTATGCTCTGTGGAAGTCAGCAACCTGCTGAGAGAACTGTTTCACTTTGGAATGACTTTCAAGATGGAAAAATCTGTCTGTTATTATTGATTACAGGGAGATCTAGGTAAGAATTAATTTAAAATGCAGATCTCTAGCCTAAACTGAAGTTATGTTACCTGAAGCCTTTCTCGTTAATTTAATGCTGATTATTAACCCTTAAAGTAACACTCACTTATAGCAGGACTTTTACACAATAATGTAGACAACTGTGCTCATATGTAGGCAGCCAGAGCAGTAGAATACTCAGAAAATCAATCTTTAGCTTTACATGAAAAATACAATATGTTGTATATAAAAAATAAACAACAACAACAACAAAAAAACTAACAAACTAACTTCTTTCCAGATAAATAGCTACTTATCATCATGGAAAAAGCAGACTGTATTCTCATTTCCAGGGGATGAAATCTGGGTCTGCTGGGGTTTTTGCTTACATAGCGGTTTTTAAAAACACTTAGGAAACATTTGTTCTCATGACACAATCCCCATCATTAAAACAGCATGCGCATGGCTCAGTCTCAGAGTATGAAGCATGCGCAAATCACATCATCCTTTATGAGAGTGGCTAGGACAGTGGTTCCCACCTACAAGTTCATCTACTGCTGCTTGTCTTTCAGAATCCACCTATTGATATTAGCTGCTTTTCCTCTCTTTGGGACAGCGGTTTCACATTATTTGGCTTTCCCACAGGAAAACAGGATTTCTGATTTCCAATACACTTCCAGAAATCACAAGAAATAACACATCCCAAAAATACTGATAAAAATGCAGAGCATTTTTTTCTGATTGCTTTGGATGCATTGCCATTTCTTGTCTTGCATGCCATTGCATCCTCTCCCTTGTGATGGGATAAAAGTTTTCCTCAAACTTTTATCTTCAAAGTGGAGTCCTAGCATGAGAACTCCTTTGCTAGGGTAATCTATAAACCCTTAATGCTAGGGTAAATACAGACCACTACAAAGGGAGAAAGATAGATGCACTGCAAACTATCTTCGCAGCTGAAGGACAATTCATCTCTCAGATTCTTGCTCCTGTTGAGCAAAGGGAATTATTTTGGAAAATCTGGGAGAAGAATTTGCTTTTGGGATATACAAGAGATGGCTGGCTTCTGCAGCAGATGTTCTACCCTTGCTAAGAATAAAGAGTGGGAACCACTGAACTAGCAATACTGATTCATAAACAGTCATGCATGGAAATAACGCAGTTACATCCCATCATGCAAGCCAGATACTCTCCTCTCTGTGTTTTGCCTAACATTGGAGTTTCATAATCAAATGGCACATGTATGAGAAGAAAAATAATGAATCAATACTAAAAATGAATAAAACACAGCCCTACTCCATGTATTTACCCTTTTCACCTCACACAGAGTAATAATATTCAGGAAATCTTTCCATGTTTTTGCAGTTTATCTAATCACTATGCTAGCTAATCATTAGGTTAGGCTAGTCTCAAGTAACTGGAAGTAAAAGGAAGTCAGGCTTACTCCAGTATTTTACTACATTATCAGCTGTACTATCACTGTGCAGGTGAACTGGGCTTTGAGAAATCAAACATTCTGAATGAGATTTTCAGGAATATTCTCCTTTGCGCTCTTCCCAATGGAAATTAGCATACAACTAATATGAAGACAGCAATGAGCCCTGCAGAAAATCTAGCCCTCAGTGAATACTTTCAACTGATCTCTAAGAGTCCACGTTTTACCAATATAAAACAAAGAACACTTTTCTGTTCCAAAGTACTTACAAAATTTAGCCAATCAGCTTATCCTTCTAAGAAAATTAAATGATATTTGTTTCTATAGAGAATAACACACAAAAGTGATCAACGTCAAAATAATTGACCATAACTTCTTAATAACTAATATTTTCTTTTAAAAAGCCACTGGGCACCTAGAATTCAAGGTCTAAATCTGCAAATTTCTGATTTGGGAGGGAAAAATATCCCATTTTAGCCACCACATTTCCTCAT